ACACACAACACACAACAAAACACACACACACACACACAAACACACACACACACACACACAACACACACAATACACACACACACAAACACACACAAGACACACACACACACACACACACACACACACACCACAACACACACACACACACACACACACACAACACACACAACACATCACAACACACACACACACACACGACACACACACACACACACAAAATACATACAGAACACACACAGAACACACACACCACACAATACTCACAGAAACACACACACCACACAGAAAACACAACACACAACAACACACACAACACACACAACACACAGAACACACACAACACACACACAAAACACACAGAACACACAAAACACACAAAACACAACACAAACACCACATCTGCACACACTGAGTTGAATAAAAGAGTCTCTGTGTTCACTTGTATTTTATCTTTGTTTTATGATAAAAAACAAACTCTGTGTGATTGATCTGAGTCGTATCTGTGTGTGTTTATATTTACACTGTTATATTTAAATGCTGCACTTTATTATTATTATTATTTTTAATATTTATTTATAAATTTTCTTCTTCTTGTTGTGTGTTCAGGGCAGTGTGGATCAGCTGAGGGAGGTGTGGGAGGAGACGGACGGACTCGACCCCAAAGAGTTTAACCCCAAAACTTTCTTCAAACTCCACGGTCTGAATCCCGCTGAACACCGTTTAGACTTTACTCTGTTTTTCCGTCTGTTCTTTCTTTCTCTTTTTCTGTCTTTCTTGGGTCAAATACTCGAGAAAACTCCAGTTTAGAGCTTTAAATTTAAACAGAGGGCAGTGTCATCACAAACTCTCTCTCTTAAATCCGTCTAAAATGTAAACTCCGTGTTCTGTTGTGCCAGACGCAAATGAAGACGGCGTTCTGGACGAGCAGGAGCTGGAGGCGCTCTTCACCAAAGAGGTCAGTGTCTCTGTCTGTCGCTTTCTTTCGTCTTGTCTTTTTGTTCTTTCTGTCAGTTCTTTGCTCTTTCTTTCTTCCCTTTTCTTTGTCTTTTCTTTCATTCTGTCTGTCCTTTCGTTCTTTCTGGCTGTTCTTTTGCTCTTTCTTTCTTCCCGTTCCTTGGCCCCTTCCTTCTTTCTTCCTTTTTCTGTCTCTTCTTTCTTTTTCTTTCTTTCTTCTTTCTTTTTCTTTCTCTGTTCTTTCATTCTTCCTTTTTGTCTCTTCTTTCTAGTTTTTCTGTCTGTTCTTTCTTTCTTTTCTTTCTGTCTGCTCTTTCTTTCTTTTTTCTTTGTCTGTTCTTTTCTTTTTTTTCTTTCTGTCTGTTTCTTTTTCTTTGTCTGTTCTTTTTCTTTGTCTGTTCTTTTTCTTTCTGTCTGTTCTTTTTCTTTCTCTGTTCTTTCATTCTTCCTTTTTGTCTCTTCTTTCTTTCTAACTTTTTCTGTCTGTTTTTTCTTTTCTTTTTTCTTTCTGTCTGTCCTTTTTCTTTCTGTCTGTTCTTTTTCTTTTTCTTTCTGTCTGTTCTTTCTTCTTTCTTTTTCTTTCTGTCTGTTCTTTTTCTTTTTTTCTTTCCGTCTGTTCTTTCTTTCTTCCTTTTTCGTTCTGTTTGTCTTTCTTTCATTCTTTAGATTTAGACAAACTTTATTGATCCACGATTTCTTTCTGACTTTTTTCTTTCTCTTTCTTTCTTTCCTGGTCCATTAGACTTAGACTTAAACTTTACTGATCCACAAGGGAAATGATTTGGACACAGGAGTCACACATCATGATATAATATTATAACAAAGAGTAAAAATATAAATGGTGATAATAAATTCTAAATAAGTCGTAGTAGGAACATAATTCTATAAATCACATCTTCATTCTGCAAACAAGAATAAATTCAAAAAAGTGTAGTTTTTATGAAATGTCCTGGAGCGATTGTGACTGATTGTGTAAATGTGTTTCAGCTGGAGAAAGTTTACAACCCGAAGAACGAGGAGGACGACATGATGGAGATGGAGGAGGAGCGGCTCCGGATGAGAGAACACGTCATGAACAACGTGAGTCTGACCTCCGAACTCAAACAGACGCAGAGTCACGTTTAAGATCAACACCGCGTCCTACAGGTCACTCGTGACTCACGCCGGGTCACTCGTGACTCACGCCGGGTCACTCGTGACTCACGCCGGGTCACTCGTGACTCACGCCGGGTCACTCGTGACTCACGCCGGGTCACTCGTGACTCACACACAAGAGTCCAGTCCGGGCAAGTCTAGTCCACGTGAGTCTGGTCCACGTGAGTCTGGTCCGGGCGAGTCTGGTCCGGGCGACTCAGTCTGGTCCGGGCAAGTCCGTCTGGTCCGGGCGGGGCGAGTCCGGTCCGGGCGGGCGAGGCGGTCCGGGCGAGTCAGTCTGGTCCGGGCGAGTCAGTCTGGTCCCGGCGAGTCTGGTCCGGGCGGGCGAGTCCGGTCCGGGCGGGCGAGTCCCGGTCCGGGCGGGCGAGTCCGGTCGGGCGGGCGAGTCCGGTCCGGGCGGGCGAGTCCGGTCCGGGCGGGCGAGGCCGGTCCGGGGCGAGTCTGGTCCGGGCGTCTTGTGTTGTGATACAGTGGCTCTGGGCTCTGGTCTCTCGAGCTGTTTTCAGGTCGGTCAGAAGGAGCCGGTGTCGGTTCCTGCACCAGTTTCACGGGGAACCAAAGTTCTTACAGTGAATGAGCTGCTTTCTGCACATTTAAATGAACCCAGGATGTTTCATTGACAGAGGGACTGGATTTACCACTAAATAAAAACAAGGCCGTACAAAATAATAATCATGGATCACATCACCGACACGGAGAGCATTTGTACTCATCCAATATATGATTTATCGGTGGAGGAACATCTGCGGTGGAGGAACATCTGCGGTGGAGGAACATCTGCTGTGAAGAATCCAAAGATGGGACCTCACCAGGCGAACACTTCTAGAGCAAACATTTGGTTTTCTCTGCTGATGACGGCACAATCTTCTTGTCACCTGGTTTCTCCTCCATGTTCCAAAAACACGTTTTCTTTGTTTATTTTCTCGTGGATGAACCTGCGTCTTCTTTGTCTTCACGGTTTGTTTAGAAAAAAACAAGTTTTACTTGGTTCCCGTTGGGAAAGATTTTTTTGGTTCAACTGTCGTGTTCACGACAGTCGGTTTGAGGTCTGGTGCAGGAACCAGCACAGTTCTGTCGTTTTGAAAACACCACCAGAGAAACGATCAGGTTCAACTTTTGTGAGTTTGACCTTTTGGAGATTTCATGGTGAAGTACAATGAGGTCAACAGAACTGTGACCTCTGACCCCATCTGACCGTATGACATCATCACAGTGTTGGTTCATCGATCGTTATCGTCATTATCCATGTCTCAGTGAATAATGTTTTAGGAACAATTTTAGAATCCACATTGTTGAGTAATCGGGAATCATCTTTAAATGGTGATGTTTCTCCTCCTTCTGAAGTTGGACAGTTGGTCTCTGTTCATCCCTCTGTTTTCTGACTCCTCCGTCTCTGTTCCTCTGTTCTTCTGTTCTTCTGTTCTCTGTTCCTCTGTTCTTCTGTTCTTCTGTTCCTCTGTTCCTCTGTTCCTCTGTTCTTCTGTTCTTCTTCTGTTCTCTGTTCTCTGTTCTTCTGTTCTCTGTTCCTCTGTTCCTCTGTTCCTCTGTTCTTCTGTTCTTCTGTTCCTCTGTTCTTCTGTTCCTCTGTTCTTCTGTTCTTCTGTTCTTCTGTTCTTCTGTTCTTCTGTTCTCTGTTCTTCTGTTCCTCTGTTCTTCTGTTCTCTGTTCCTCTGTTCCTCTGTTCTTCTGTTCCTCTGTTCTTCTGTTCCTCTGTTCTTCTGTTCTTCTGTTCTTCTGTTCTCTGTTCCTCTGTTCTTCTGTTCTCTGTTCTTCTTCTGTTCTTCTCTCTGTTCTTCTCTGTTCTTCTGTTCTTTCTGTTCCTCTGTTCTTCTGTTCCTCTGTTCCTCTGTTCTTCTGTTCCTCCGTTGTTCTGTTCTTCTGTTCTTGTTCTTCTGTTCTTCTGTTCCTTCTGTTCCTCTGTTCTTCTGTTCTTCTGTTCTTCTGTTCTCTGTTCTTCTGTTCCTCTGTTCTTCTGTTCTTCTGTTCTTCTGTTCTTCTGTTCTGTTCTTCTGTTCTTCTGTTCCTCTGTTCTTCTGTTCTTCTGTTCATCTGTTCTTCTGTTCTTCTGTTCCTCTGTTCCTCTGTTAAAATAAGATAAGATAAGATAAGATAAGATAAGATAATCCTTTATTGTCTCCCATGGGAGAAATTTGTCTTGGGACAGGGGGTAACATGTTTTATCAAAAAACAGGACGACACAACACAAAGCAGACATAAACAAACACATAAAACAAAGTAAATATGAGACCAGTTTGACCACGAGTGATGCACCAACAGGACCTTAAATTATCCTTAACAGGCCCTTGCATTCTTCTGTTCTATTAATTATTGCACATTCCCTAAGCCTATGTGCAGTTTTAGTTATAATTATTGCACATTCCCTAAGCCTATGTGCAGTTTTAGTTATAATTATTGCACATTCCTTAAGCCTATGTGCAGATTTAATTATTGCACATTCCTTAAGCTATGTGTTTAATGGCACATTCCCTACACCTATGTGCAGTTTTGATTGCACAATCCCTAAGCCTTTTATAATTATTTTTTAACTGCATTATCTGAGTTTAGCAGTTTAACGGCTAGTGGCACAAAGGAATGTTTGAATCTGTTCAGTTTACAGTTTGGGACCTGAACCTTCTGCCTGACGGCATCAACTCAAACTGACTGTGAAGAACATGGGTTGGGTCATTGATCACCTTCCTGCCGAGCTTCCTCACAGTCTCCTCAAACATTTGCTGAAGTGAGCTTGGGGCCACACCCATTATTTTACCTGCTCTTTTAGTCAAGGTAAAAATCTGTGCTTTAAGTTTGACTGACAGGTCACCAAACCATGTTGACATGTCATAGCGTCAGATAGATTCTATGCATGTTTTATAAAAACAACAGCATTACATTGGTGTCAACTCCATGTGACCTAAGCCGTCTTAAAAACAGAGACGCTGGCTGATTCTTGAGCAGACAGACTGAACCTGCTGGCTCCATTGGAGCTGAGAATCAAATAACACACCCAAGTACTTATAACATGTCACCTGCTCTATGTCCCTCCCCTGATGTTAACGGGGCTGTGGTCCCCGACAGGTTTGGGATCAAAAATGATCTCCTTTGTCTTTTCCACATTTAAGACAAGGTTGTGCTCCTCACACCAATGCACCACTTCATCAATTCCTGTCCTGTAGCTGATGGCATCTGTGCTTTTTACTGAGTAAACTAAGAATAGCTGTGTCATCAGAAAATTAATTATATAGTTGTTTTACCTGTCTACTCCTGCATGCATTGGTGTATCAAAAGTGAAAAAGAAGAGGTGAGCTAACACAGCCCCCTGTGGTGCCCCAGTGCTGACAACCTGATATCTGACAGCGCTGAGTTAACCTTAACTTGTTGCTGTCTCCCTGTAAGAAATGCCAATACCACTTAATAACATGACTGTTAACACCAGATCTAACAGCTTCTTCAGCAGAATGCTCGGTAATATTGTATTAAATGCTGAGCTAAATCCATGAACAGTATTCTGGCATATGATGAAGGATCCTCTAAGTGTTTCAGTATTAAGTGGGCAGTAGTTACAAGAGCATCATCAGTACTTCTGTTGCTGCAGTAAGCAAACTGATAGGGATCTACATGTCCCGCTACCTCCTCCCTCAGAAACCCCCATAAACACGCTCACATGATTTCATGGTCACTGATGTCAAGGCCACAGGCCTGAAGTCATTGTTCTCTTTAGGACAGGTTTTCTTTGGTACAGGGTGATAATAGACTTTTTCCAGAGCAAAGGTTATTCCCCTGTATCTACTGAAATTTGAAATAAGGGACACCATGCTTGGCTCAGTTCATCAGCAAAAGTCTTTAGCAGGAAAGCTGAGATCCCATCTGGCCCGCTGGCCTTTTTGGTGTCAAGTCTTTTAAAAATAGTGGTGACCACCCGGGATCAACCAGAAGCCTGTGGCTGTGTTCAAGATTCAGCTCGAAATTACCTGGTGAACATTCAAACCTATTTAAAGGATTTAATTCATTGGCCCTCAAATTCGTTCCTGACATGCAGGGAACCTGTATTAGATTTTAAGTTTGTTATGTCTTTAACAACATTTCAGAGTTTTTTTGAACTCTGGTATTAAGAGCTTCCCTGACCCTCCTGTTATTCTTGTCCCTTGCTTCCTTGATTTTCTTCCTAAGTTCTCGGTCGATGTCATTAACTCTGTTCCTCTGTTCCTCTGTTCTTCTGTTCTTCTGTTCTTCTGCAGGTGGACCTGAACAGGGATCGTGTGGTGAGTCTGGACGAGTTCCTCAAATCCACCGAGAAGAAAGAATTCAACAGCCACAAAGAGTGGGAGGTGAGAGGAACAGCCCAGGAACTGTGACCTCTGTGTGACCTCTGTGTGTGTGTGTGACCTCTGTGTGTGTGTGTGACCTCTGTGTGTGCGTGTGTGACCTTGTGTGTGTGACCCTGTGTGTGTGACCTCTGTGTGTGTGACCCCTGTGTGACCTCTGTGTGTCTGTGTGACCTCTGTGTGTGTGTGACCCCTGTGTGACCTCTGTGTGTGTGTGACCTCTGTGTGTGTGTGACCTCTGTGTGACCTCTGTGTGTGTGTGTGTGACCTCTGTGTGTGTGTGACCTCTGTGTGTGTGTGACCTCTGTGTGTGTGACCTCTGTGTGTGACCTCTGTGTGTGTGTGACCTGTGTGTGTGTGTGTGTGACCTCTGTGTGTGTGTGTGTGACCTCTGTGTGTGTGTGACCTCTGTGTGTGTGACTCTGTGTGTGTGACCTCTCTGTGACCTCTGTGTGTGTGTGTGACCTCTGTGTGTGTGTGACCTCTGTGTGTGTGTGACCTCTGTGTGTGTGTGACCTCTGTGTGTGTGACCTCTGTGTGTGTGACCTCTGTGTGTGTGTGACCTCTGTGTGTGTGACCTCTGTGTGACCTCTCTCTCTCTCTCTGTGTGTGTGAGACTCTGGAGACGAAGCAGGTGTACACGGAGGAGGAGCTTCAGCGTTTCGAGGCGGAGCTTCGGGACAAAGAGGAGGAGCTAAAGCGGCGGGCGACGGCGCTCAACCAGGAACAGGAAGTGCTCCGGGAGCGAGGGAAAGCTCTGGAGGCGCAGAGGAGGGAGTACCAACAGGTGAGAGGGAGGAGGGAGTACCAACAGGTGAGAGGGAGGAGGGAGTACCTACAGGTGAGAGGGAGGAGGGAGTACCTACAGGTGAGAGGGAGGAGGGAGTACCAACAGGTGAGAGGGAGGAGGGAGTACCAACAGGTGAGAGGGAGGAGGGAGTACCAACAGGTGAGAGGGAGGAGGGAGTACCTACAGGTGAGAGGGAGGGGGAGTACCAACAGGTGAGAGGGAGGAGGGAGTACCAACAGGTGAGAGGAGGAGGGAGTACCTACAGGTGAGAGGGAGTACCAACAGGTGAGAGGGAGGAGGGAGTACCAACAGGTGAGAGGGAGGAGGGAGTACCAACAGGTGAGAGGGAGGAGGGAGTACCAACAGGTGAGAGGGAGTACCTACAGGTGAGAGGAGAGTACCAACAGGTGAGAGGGAGGAGGGAGTACCAACAGGTGAGAGGGAGGAGGGATTACCTACAGGTGAGAGGGAGTACCAACAGGTGAGAGGGAGTACCTACAGGTGAGAGGGAGGAGGGAGTACCTACAGGTGAGAGGGAGTACCAACAGGTGAGAGGGAGTACCTACAGGTGAGAGGGAGGAGGGAGTACCTACAGGTGAGAGGAGGAGGGAGTACCTACAGGTGAGAGAAGAGGAGAGAGGAGGGAGAAAGAGAGCGAGCGAGAGAGAGAGAGAGGGAGGGACGAAAGAAGGAAGGAAGGAAGGAAGGAAGGAGAGAGGAAAGAAGAGAGAGGGGGGGAGGAAGGAAGAGAGGAAGGAAGGAAAGAAGGAAGGGAGGGAGATGGAGAGAGAGAGTGAAAGAGAGAAAGAAGAGAAAGGTGGAGGTAGATGGAGGAAGAGTCTGAGCTGATCCTGGAAATTAAATTAAATAAACTGAATCTTGGAGACAAATATTTGTGACACGTTTAAAAATCCACATTTAAAAACTGAACAGAGAAAATCTAAAAGGTTTTATATCGTTTTCTTCATGTTCTGAAAGTTGTTCTGAAAATTAAACCCAGTATTTATTTTTTTTTCCCATGAGGCCGTGCTGGAGATGTCCCACAGACAGAAGGGGCAGCAGCCTGAGGACGCAGCGCCACCTGCTGGAAACAACGCAGAACTGCACTTTGAACCAGAGGCTCCGAAACAAGAGAAAGGTACGAAACACGAAGGAAACGCCGAGAAAACAACGAAAACATCGAGAAAATAAAGAAATATCAAGACAATAAAGAACACAGGATTAAAAAATATCAAAAAAAGAACACAGGATTTAAAAATATATACATAAAAAAAAAAATAGAACACAGTATTTTAAATATATATAAAAATATATAGAACAAAGGATTTAAAAATATATATTAAAAAAATAGAACACAGGATTTAAAATATCAAGAAAAAAATTATAGAACACTGGATTTAGAAATATTTAAAAAAAGAACACAGGATTTAAAAATATAAAAAAAATATAGAACCTAGGATTTAAAGGCTCGTGTCACAGTTTTTTCTGTTCTAATTTAATTTATGTGAACAATTTTCATTTAAATAGATTTTCTCACAGATCAGTTTGGGTGTTTTGTGGTTTTACCTTACTAACTTTTTTCCCTCTTTTTCTCTGTCTATCTGTTCTTTTCTCTTATCTTCTCTCTTTCTCTTTTTTGTCTCACTCTGTCTCTTTTCTTCCATGTCTCGCTCTCTGTCCCTCTTTCTCTTTTCTTCTTTCTCTGTCTCTCTATCTGTGTTTCTCTTTCTCTTATCTCCTCTCTCTCTCTTTTCTTGTCTCTTTTCTTCCGTCTCTCTTGGTCTCTTTCACTTTTCTTCTTTTTCTCTGTCTGTCTGTTCTTTTTGTCTGGATCTTTCTTTTCTTCCATCTCTTGCTCTTTGTCTCTTTCACTTTTCTTCTGTCCTGCTTTCTCTTTTCTTCTTTCTCTGTCTCTATCTGCGTTTCACTTTCTCTTATCTTCTCACTCTCTTCTCTTTTCTTCCATCTGTTTCTCTTTTCTTCCATCTGCCTTTCTCTTCTTTCTCTTTTCTTCTCTCTCTCTTTCTGTTATCTTCTCTCTTTTCTTGTCTCTCTCTCTCCATTTCTCTTTTATGTCATTCTCTTTTCTTCCATCTTTCTCTCTGTCTCTTTCACTTTTATTCTATCTCTCTTTCTCTTTTTTTCTTATCTTTTCTCTCTCTTTCTCTTTTCTTCTCCCTCTGAGTGTTTCTCTTCTTCTCCACTCTGTCTCTCTGCCTTTTCTTCTGGCTCTCTGTCCGTCTCTTTCTCATCTTTCTCTCGCTCTCTTTTTACACCCCATCCCTCTTTCCATCTCTCTTTCTCCATCCCTCTTTCTCTCTTTTAGTGGAAAACGGCACAGACATTTTGGTGGAGCCTCCTCAGAACCTTCCTGTCCACACCTGATCCATCCTGCACTTATCCCCGCCCACTTCACTCAGAATATCGTAAACTCCTACACAAAAACGCACCCTACAGAGGACGGACGCAAAAACACACCCTACAGAGGACGCAAAAACACACCCTACAGAGGACAAACGTAAAAACACACCCTACAGAGGACGGACGCAAAAACACAGAGGACGGACCCAAAAACACACCCTACAGAGGACGGACGCAAAACACACCTACAGAGGACGAACAAAAAAACACACCTACAGAGGACGGACGCAAAAACACACCCTACAGAGGACGGACAAAACACATACAGAGGACGCAAAAACTCACCCTACAGAGGACGGACGCAAAAACACACCCTACAGAGGACGGACGCAAAAACACACCCTACAGAGGACGGACGCAAAAACACACCCTACAGAGGACGACGCAAAAACACACCCTACAGAGGACGGACGCAAAAACACACCCTACAGAGGACGAACGCAAAAAACACACCCTACAGAGGACGGAACGCAAAAACACACCCTACAGAGGACGAACTAAAAAAACACACCCTACAGAGGACGAACGCAAAAACACACCCTACAGAGGACGAACGCAAAAACACACCCTACAGAGGACGAACGTAAAAACACACCCTACAGAGGACGAACGCAAAAAACACACCCTACAGAGGACGAACGCAAAAACACACCCTACAGAGGACGAAAAAACACACCCTACAGAGGACGAACGCAAAACACACACCTACAGAGGACGAAAAAAACACACCCTACAGAGACGACAAAAAAACACTACAGAGGACGAAAAAACACACCCTACAGAGGACGGACGCAAAAACACACCCTACAGAGGACGAACGCAAAAACACACCCTACACCCTACAGAGGAACGAACGCAAAAAACACACCCTACAGAGGACAACGCAAAAACACACCCTAAAAACACACCCTACAGAGGACGAATGTAAAAACACACCCTACAGAGGACGGACGCAAAAACTCACCCTACAGAGGACGAACGCAAAAACACACCCTACAGAGGACGAACGTAAAAACACACCCTACAGAGGACGACGCAAAAACACACCCTACAGAGGACGAACGCAAAAACACACCCTACAGAGGACGAACGTACCACGAGTTTCATATTCTCTGTTTAAGTCATTTTAAATCCTCCAGAGTTTTATCTCACTGGTGTCACTCAAACTCATCACATTTTAAAGAGGGGGTATTCTGCAAATTCAACCTTTTTTTTTTTTTGTTTTCTCTCATGTTCTAACGTTAATGAAACTAAATCTATATTATATAAAACATGTAAATACATTGGTTTGGGTGAATACGGCATTTTCAAAACAATAAAATAAACATGGAGATGTAAACGTGACGTCACATACCTCCGCTTTAAGTCTTTAAGCTGCATCATTGTGTTTCGTGTTCATTTCTGTGGTAAAGGTTTCATTAAAGATTATAAGAAATAATAAATGTTTTTAAAGTGAATTGTTTCTGTGCACAGTTGTTTGCCTTTTTTTAATCCATAAATCAGCACGTTTTATATATATATTTTTTTTTTATTCAGTATTTTACCCTCTAAGTCGATTGAGAACGTCGTCTCATTTGCAGTGACCAAGAGGCACAAAACGAAAACACTCAAATCAACCAGAACATGAAACTGTGAATCGAGACGCGAGACACTGAAACATTTGCAGATTAAAGATCTAAAATTTTAAAAGTTTGTGCAATGATCTTGTAAAATAGGACGTTTGTTAGATTGTTCGACGGAAGTAAAAGCCAGAGCAGGGACCAAGTCGTTTTGCGAGTCTCAAGTCTTTGACCTCAAGTCCGAGTCAAGTCCCAAGCCAAATACAGGCAAGTCCAAGTCGAGTCTCAAGTCACTGGCCCATAAATCCAAGTCAAGTCCAAGTCGTCTGCTTTGAGCTTCAAGTCATTTCAAGTCTTTAAATCCAAGAAGTACCAAATATAGCTTTGGTTTTTGCAATTTATTTGACTTTTAAGATAAATTGTACTTAAAAAACCTAAGTATATTTATATATGAGTATTTCTAAAGTATTTAAAAGGTGTAGAAAATAATTTCGTTAATTTTTCCTTTTTAAACGTCTGGACAAGACCTTAGTGTGAATCATTATGGTCAGAAAAGAAAGAATTCAGATTTGAAAGAGCTTCTCAAGTCTTGTCAAGTCACACGCCTCAAGTCCGAGTCAAGTCCAAAGTCTGTCCATTTTGTCAAGGCGAGCCTCAAGTCCTAAAAATAGTGACTCAAGTCTGACTCGAGTCGAGAATTTTAAGTCTCGTTTTAAACCCCATTTTCAACACCGCGTGAGTCCTGTGCTCCTCTTCATCTTTATTTATTTTATTTACTTTATTTATTTTACTTGTTTACAGCTATTTTATGATTTTTATGGTTTTGCTTTTATTTGATTTTACTGGTTTTACTGTTTTAGGACTGGTGGGACCAAATTTTAGCAATTTTTTACCTTTTTATTGTCTTAATTTTCTGGACTTTTGGAAACTTCTTTGCTTGTAAAACGTGCGGCGGAAATAAAGTGGATTTAGTGTAGAGACTATTTGTCAAACAAAGTAAACAAACAAAAGCGATGAGCGACTCAACTAAACAGAACTCAGATAATCATGACTTTTGGGCACCGTGGGTTTGTGGTTTACGCAGTGACAAAAAAACAAATCAATGTCCATGACCAGAGTTGAGTTTACAAGATTTATTTTCAGTTTTTAGACCCACTCAGGTCACTCAGGTCTATGTGTCCCACCCTCTTTTATCCCTGAGGTGACCAGACTAAACAAACAAACAAAAAAAAGGTACTAACGTAAATAATACCAAGTTAGCAAATATAATATTAACATAGCAGAAAAAAAAACAAAAACTAAATGAGTAAACTAATTGACAAACAAAAATAATAAACAAATTTTAGAATCAAGTCAAATCATGTTCCGTATAGATTTTTAATTATTTTATTTATTTATTTATTTATTTTATTATTATTTTAAAGTATGTCACTCTTGCTTATTTATTATTATTATTATTATTTATTTATTTTTTATTATTATTATTATTATTAAACATAACACCTGTGTAGCTCCTGTTCTGTATAGTTTTTTTTATTTTTTTATTTTATTTTTATTATCATTTTAAAGTAAAGTTACTCTTTTTATTTATTATTATTATTATTTTTATTATTATTATTATTATTATTTTTTATTATTTTACTTTATTTATTTATTTTTTTTTATTAATTAATTCCGTATAGAACTTTACGGCCTCGTGCCTCACATTACGTCACCTCTCTGCGCTAAGCCCCGCCCCCGCCGCCCGCTCTGCGCTCTGATTGGTCGAGCCGTTTTCACAGTCCGTCTCTGAAACTCTGGACCAAAAAAAAACCTGCTCTTCCTCGCGCTGTTTTCTCTCGGTTTTTGTAGATTTTTACTCCAAACTGAGATTAATCGACATTTAGACATTTTTTTTCCACAAAATATCAGCACATTTTTCTTAATATAACCAAGTTTGTGACTAAAATGTGTCTTAAAACGCGTCTTCCTCTGTTTATTCGGTGTTAAAAAGGTGAGTGTGATTATTCTAAAGATATGAACAGGTTTTCATTTGGTTATTACGGAGTTTATAACGTTTTAATAACATAAATAACATGTTTATAACTGCAGGTGTTTGTAAAACGTTTCACGATGAGGAAAATCTGAAATAAACTGGAATAAAATGAATTTAAAAAATCACAATAAAAGGATGAGTTAAGCTGGAGGAAGAGAAAAGGAGAGAGAGACAGAGAAGAGGAGGAAGCGGAGGAGGAGAAGTGAGAGGTAGAGGAGAGGAGAGGAGGAGAGAGACAGAGGAGAGGACCAAAGGAAGAGAGGAGAGAGAGAGAGAGGAGGAGAGAGAGGAGGAGGAGTAGAGAAGAAGGAGAGGAAGAGGAGGAGGAGGACGGAGAGGAAGAGGAGGAGAAGGAGAGAGAGAGAGAGAGACTGGAGGAGAGAAAGAGGAGGAGGAGGAGAAGAGACAGAAGTAGAAGAGAGAAAGAGGAGGAGAAGAGAGAGAGACAGAGGAGAGGAATAGGTGGAAGAGGAGAGAGCAACAGAAGAGAGGAAGAGGAGGAGAGACACAGAGGAGAGGAAGAAGAGGAGAAGAAGAGACAGAAGTAGAAGAGAGAAAGAGGAAGAGGAGGAAGAGGAAAGGACCGGAGGAAGAGAAGGTAGAGGTGGAAAAGGAGAGAGACAGACGAGGAGGAAGAGGAGGAAAAGGAGGAGGAGGGAGAGACAGAGGAGAGGAAGACGAAGAGAGAGAGGTGGAGGAGGTAGAGGAGGAGGAGAGGACTGGAGGAAGAGGAGGAGAGAGAGAGAGGTAGAGGAGAGGACCAGTGGAGGAGAGGACTGGAGGAAGAGGAGGAAGAGGAGAGAGAGGTAGAGGAGAGGACCAGTGGAGGAGAGGACTGGAGGAAGAGGCGGCGGAGCGTCGTGAAGCTGCGCACGCGCACACGCACACATCCGGGACGAGATTTTCAGAGCAAAACTTTTCACCAAAACACGAGAAGAGTTTTTATTCTTCACCTCGACGCTTCTGGAAACATTTATTATAAACTACAGTCTTTTACTTATTGTCTTTTCAAAATAAAAAAAACCGTGACATCCCTCCAGGTTTTTAGATCAATTTTGAAACTACTGTGTTAATTTAGGAGAATTTTTACACCCTCAGCTCTAACGTGAGTCAGTTTACTCAATTTTCTTTGTGTTTTGTTTTTTAAGCAGGTTTTATGTATTTTACCGAAACAAATGACATGATTTCTTGAATAAAACTGAGACAAATTATTCGTTTTGGACAAATCTGCTCAAAACTGGGAGTGCGGAGGCTCCGTCTGTTTGTCCTTTTGTTATTTTTAAATTTAAACTTAAACTTTATTGATCCATAAAGGAAATTATTTAGACACATGAGTTCAAACATCACAATAAATATAATAAAAAAGAATAAAAATAGAAATGTTAATAATAAATTCTAAATAAGGAGCAAAAGAGGAAAAAGAGACACGTGTCAAAAAATACATAAATATAAATGTAGAAGTCGAAATAAGAAAAGTTAACGGTTGTTTTGTTTTTTTAATCGTCTTTTATTGTGAAAGTCTGACAGCGGACGTGCACGTGCGTCCTGCGTGCGTCTTGACGTAGCGTCGCTCGGGAGCGCAGAGGGAGGGGATGTAACGGGGCTGTACGGGGCTGTACCGGGAGAACCTGCCGCGCGGAGCCGCTCCTTTCCGCGGCGCTCGGACCCGGGACTCGGCCTCTTCTGTCCTCGTGCACCATGGACACGGTAAGCGCGCGAGCCGCACGTCTCCACGCGCGCCGCTCCCCGCGACGTAAGCGGCGGCGGCGGCGGAGCGGTACAGCTGTTTTTCAGGGCGGGGGGGCAGGGGGGGGCAGGGTGTGTGGAGACGCACCGGGGCGCGGGGAAATTCTCCGTTTATCCACAAAAACACCGGACACAAAATGTGCCGCGCGTCCCGGGCCGCGCGACGCACCGGCTCCGCGCGCGCGCACACACGTTAATTGGGCCCGATCAGCTCCAGATGATTGGCACCTCCCTCCCTGCGCGGCGCGAGGCTCCGGTTCCGCCTGTTTTTCTCCCGTTTTACCGCGGGTTTGTTCGCGACAGCGGCGGGACGCGGCTCATTCGGCCTCGTGCGCGTCGCCCCGCGCGGTCGCACCGAAATGTTCCGTGATTCTTTGGTTCGGAGGCGCGGAAAAGGCCAAATTGGTCTCGTAATTACAATTCACGATGACACCCTCTTCCCCCGCACGTCCCCGCGAGGAGAGCGCGCGGGGGAATCGCACCCCCGACCGCGCCGCCGCGCCGGGGTCTACGCGCGGGTGCGTGCGGGTTTGGCGTGGTTATTTGCGGGTTTAGGAGCCGGACACGCGCGATGACTGATGGATGATTTGTCAGGGAGCCGCTGAAGTCTCGCGATGGCAGCGGAGACGCGAGAGTGTGCGGAGGCATCACGTGCGCGGCGAGGTGTGAACCGGAGACACGGGCACGAGCCCCAAGGTGTAATATCAGCGTAATAACGAAAGTGTCACGTGGTGTCAGGGCGCAGGGGTCACGAGGACAGGCCCGCCACGCCAAACATCGAAATATTAAAGAGGAAGAATTAAAAACTGATGTTCTAACGTGGTTCTTCATCACAAACACGTCTGAAGAGATTTCACACTCATCCATGTGTGTTTGAGTCATCTAGAGATCTCTCCTGGGCCCTGTTCAAAGCCTGTACGAGGCTCCGCCCACGAGCCGACGTCCCCCAAGCTCCGACACGACAATTTTACATAAATACACTAAAACATGAGACGAAACTGAAACCAGCGACAAACCTGACGTGACGAGGACGCACAGAGTCTGCTCTGAAGGGGGAGCGAGTCAGCGCAGAGAGCAACATGTTGATATGTTGCTTTGGGCGAAAATAACAATTTCAGATCAATAAAAAAAACAAGGTGATGGTTTAGTCCTGGTTTAGACCTGGTTTAGTCCTGGTTTAGTCCTGGTTTATTACCTGGTTTAGTTCTGGTTTAGTCCTGGTTTAGTCCTGGTTTAGTCTGGTTTAGTCTGGTTTAGTCCTGGTTTAGTTCTGGTTTAGTCCTGGTTTAGTCCTGGTTTAGTCCTGGTTTAGTTCTGGTTTAGACCTGGTTTATTACCTGGTTTAGTCCTGGTTTAGTCCTGGTTTAGTCCTGGTTTAGTTCTTTTCTGTTTTGTCGATTTTTAAAATATCGATTCTTTGATAAATGAGGATCTGGTTTCGATATCGGTTTAAGTATCGATTAGCGTAAGTTTTTCGATACTTGTGCCGATCTTTCCTCTAACTCTTCTTCTTCTTCTTCGTTTTTTTTTTCCAGGTTTTGTCGTGGTGAAATCTCGGGAGTGGAGCTCGGACTTCCCCCTCCTCCCCCCTCACCCACGACTTCCCCTTCCCCCCTGGAAAAAAAAAACCAAAAAACTCCACACTCCGCCCCCGATCTCCTCTCTCCCCCTCGGAACCAACCGGAATCCCGAATCCCGAATCCCAAATCCCAAATCCCGCCGGCGCTCCGATCCTGCGTAAAAATCTGGGAATTCTGCTGGGAAACACACGGCGTAGTGGGATTTCCGTTTCCCTCAGACGTCGGCGTTCCCGGGAGAGTTCGAATCGTGGGGTTTCGGGATAAATCGGAACGCCAATAGAATTCCGGGTGATTTTTTTGTTTTGTTTTTTTTCCTGAAGTTGGGCGCGGAATCGTAAATGCCGCAGAGATGATGTGCGAGGTGATGCCCACGATCTCGGAGGACGGCCGGGGCGGAGCGGGCGGCCAGTCGTCCCCGGCGGGAGGAGGCGGCGGCGGCGGGCTGGGAGGAGGCGGCGGCGGGGGGGTGGGAGGGGTGGGCGGGTACGGCGGGCGGGATCCTCGCGGCGGCGGCGGAGGAGGAGGAGGAGGGAGCGGGGGAGGACGGCGGGAGCAGCACGGGGAACCTGGAGTCGCTGATGGTGAACATGCTGACGGAGCGAGAGCGACTCCTCGAGAGCCTCAGGGACACGCAGGAAAGTCTCTCCACCGCCCACCTCCGACTCCGAGAACTCGGACACGAGAAGGACAGTCTCCAGAGACAACTGTCCATCGCCCTGCCGCAGGTGAGGAGGAGGAGGAGGAGGAAGAGGGGAGGAGGAGGAGGAGGAGAGGAGGAAGAGGGGAGGAGAGAGGGAGGAGGAAGGGAGGAAGAGGGGAGGAAGAGGGGAGGAGAGAGGAGGAGGAGAGGGGAGGAAGAGGAGGGAGGGAGGGAGGAGAGAGGGACAGTCTCCAGAGACAACTGTCCATCGCCCTGCCGCAGGTGAGGAGGAGGAGGAGGAGGGAGGAAGAGGAGGAGGGAAGAGGGGAGGAGAGGAGAGGGAGGAGAGAGGGAGGAGAGAAAGGAGAGGGAGAGAGGGAGAGGGAGGAGGGCAGTCTCCAGAGACAACTGTCCATCGCCCTGCCGCAGGTGAGGAGGAGGAGGAGGAGGGAGGAGAGGAGAGGGGAGGAGGAGAGAGGGAGGAGGAGAGGAGAGGAAGAGGGAGGAAGAGGGGAGGAGAGAGGGAGGAAGAGGGGAGGAAGAGGGCGAGGAAGAGGGGAGGAGAGAGGGAGGAGAGAGGGAGGAGAGAGGGAGGAGAGGAGAAGAGTCTCCAGAGACAACTGTCCATCGCCCTGCCGCAGGTGAGGAGGAAGAGAGGAAGGAAAGAGGGAGGAAAGAGGAGGAGGCAGGGAGGAGAGAGGGAGGGAGGGAGGAGGAGGGAGAGAGGGAGGAAGAGGGGAGAAAGAGGGGAGGAAGAGGGGAGAAAGAGGGGAGGAAGAGGGGAGGAGAGGGGAGGAGGAGAGGAGAGAGGAGAGAGTCTCCAGAGACAACTGTCCATCGCCCTGCCGCAGGTGAGGAGGAGGAGGAGGAGAGGGAGGAAAGAGGGAGGAGGAGGGAGGAGGAGAGGGAGGGAGGGAGGGAGGGAGAGGAGGAGAGGAGAGAGAGAGGGAGGAGAGAGGAGAGAGGAGGAGAGAGGAGGAGGAGGAGGAGGAGAGAGAGAGGAGAGGAGGAGGAAGGGGAGGAGAGAGGGAGGGAGAGAGAGGAGGAGAGGAGAAGAGTCTGCAGAGACAACTGTCCATCACTCTACCACAGGTGAGGAGGAGGAGAGGAGAGAGGAGAGAGGGAGGAGAGGAGAGGAGGGAGGAGAGGAGAGAGGGAGGAGGAGGGGAGAAGAGGTGAGGAGAGAGAGGAGGAGGAGAGGAGAGAGAGGAGAGGGAGGAGAGGGAGGAGAGAGGGAGGAAAGAGGGAGGGAGAGAGTCTGCAGAGACAACTGTCCATCGCTCTGAAACAGGTGAGGAAGAGGAGAGAGGGAGGAGGAGAGGAAGAGAGGAGAGAGGGAGGGAGGAGGAGAGGAAGAGGAGAAAAGGAGGAGGAGAGAGGGAGGAAGAGGAGGAGAGAGGGAGGAGAGAGAAGGAGAGTCTCCAAAGACAACCGTCCATCGCCCTGCCCCAGGTGAGGAGGAGGAGGAGAGGAAGAGGAAGAGGGAGAGAAGAAGGGAGAGAGCGAGAGACAGAGAAGAGGAGAAGGAGGAGAGAGGGGGAGGAGGAGGAGGAGAGGAAGAAGGAGGAGACAAGGAGGAGAGCGGAGAGAGGGAGGAGAGGAGAGAGGGGGTGTGGAGAGAAAGAAGAGGAGAAGGAGAGAGAGAGAGAGAGAGAAGGAGGAGGAGAGGAGAAGGAGGGAGGGAGAGGAGAGAGGAGAAGAGTCTGCAGAGACAACTGTCCATCACTCTACCACAGGTGAGGAGGAGGAGAGGAAGAGAGGAGGAGAGGGAGGAGAGGAGAGAGGAGAGAGGAGGAGAGGGAGGAGAGGAGAGAGAGGAGAGGAGAGGAGAGAGGAGGAGGAGGAGGAGAGGAGGAGGAGAGAGGAGAGGAGGAGGAGAGAGGAGGAGGAGCAGGAGGAGAGAGAGAGAGGAGAGAGAGGAGAGAGAGGAGAGGAGGAGAGGAGAGAGGAGGAGGAGAGAGGAGGAGAGAGGAGGAGGAGGAGGAGAGAGAGGAGAGAGGAGGAGGAGAGGAGGAGAGGAGGGAGGAGAGGTAGAGGGGAGGAGCAGAGAAGGAAGACAAGAGAGAGGGAGTAGAGAAGGAGGAGAGAGGAGAGAAGGAGGAGAGAGGAGAGAGGGAGAGTCTGCAGAGAAAAATGTCCATCACCCCACCGCAGGTGAAGAGGAGAGGAGGAAGAGGAAAAAGGGAGGAGAGAGGAAGGAGAGATAGAGGAGACAGGAGGAAGAGGGGAGCAGAGGAAAGAGAGAGGAGCGAGGGAGGAGAGAAGGAGACGGAGAGTCTGCGGAGACAAATGCCCCAATTAAGGAGGAAGAGAGGAAGGAAAGAGGGAGGAGAGAGGGACAGTCAAGGGGAGAACGAGGAGAGGAGAAGGAGAGGGGAGAGGGGAGGAGGAGGAGGAGAGGAGAAGAGGAGGAGGAAGAAGAGAAGACGAGGAGGAGAGGAGAAGGAGGGAGAGGAGAGGAGAGAGAGAGGAGAAGGAGGGGAAGAAGGAGGAGACAAGAAGACAAGGAGGAGAGGGTAGAGAGGGAGGAGAGAAGGAAGAGGAGAAGGTAGAGAGAGAGGGAGGAGGAGAGGAGAGAGGGAGGAGGAGAGAAGGAAGACAAGAGAGAGGGAGTAGACAAGGAGGAAAGAGGGAGAGAGGGAGGAAGAGGAATTAGCAGAGGAGAGGAAAGAGAGGAGAGAGGGAAGAGAGAGGAAGGAGGAAGGGAGGAGAGAGAGGAGAGACAACTGTCCATCACTCTGCCTCGGGTGAGGAAGAGGAGGAGGAGAAGAGGGGAGGAGAAGGAGGAGAGAGGGGGAAGAGGGGAAGAGGAGGAGAGAGGGAGGAGAGAAGGAAGAGACAGAGGAGAGGAAGAGGGAGGAGAGAGGGAGAGTCTGCAGAGACAACTGTCCATCGCTCTGCCGCAGGAGAGGAAGAGGAGGAGAGGAGGAAGGAGAGATGAAGGGAAGGAGTGGGAGGTAGGAGAGCGAGAGAGGGAAAGAGGGAGGAGGAGGTGTGAAGGAGTGAAAGAGAAGAGGAGAGAGGAGAGGCAGGGCGAGAGGATGGAGGGAAAAAAAAGAGACATAAAGGGAGGGAGGAGAGGAGGAGGAAACTGTTCATCGCTCCAGGAGAGGAGAGGAGAGAGGGATGAAGGAGGAGAGGAGAGAGAGAGAGGAGGAGGGCAGAAGGAGAGAGGGATGAAGGAGGAGAGGAGAGAGAGGAGGGCAGAAGGAGAGAGGGATGAAGGAGGAGAGGAGAGAGAGTTAATATCAGACAGTTTGGATTTAGTTAAGTTCACAGAAAAGAGAGAGAAGAGAGAAGGAGGGAGAGAAGAGAGAGAGAGAAGAGAGAGAGAGGAGAGGAGGAGCAGAAAAGAAGCGAGGGAGGGAGGGGTGAGAGAGGGTGACAAAAAGAGGAGGAGGAGCAGAGAGGGAGGAGAGAAACAAAAAGAGTGGGAGCAAGAGAGAGAGACGGAGGGAGAGAAGGAGGGAGGGAAGGAGGGAGAGATGGATAGTGTAAGAGAAGAAGGGATGGAGAGAAGGAGAAAGAAAAGGAGAGAGAGGGGAGAGAGAGGGAGAAGAGGAGGGAGGTAGAGTGAGGGAAGGAAGGGATGGAGGGAGAGAGAGAGAAGGAGGGACTGAGGGATAGAGAGAGGGATGGAGTGAGAGAAGGACGGAGGGAAGGAGGAATGGAGGGATAGAGTGAGAGAAGGAGGGATAGAAGATAGTGAGAGAAGGAGGGATGGAAGGATAGAGAGAAAGAAGGAGGGGATGGAGGAGTGAGAGAGAGAAGGAGGGAATGAGGGATAGAGAGAGGGAGAGAGTGAGAGAAGTAGAGAAGGAAGAAGGGAGAGCGAGAAGGACAGAGGGAGAGAAGGAGGAATGGAGGGATAGAGTGAGAGATGGAGGGATGGAGAGAGGGAAGGAGGGAGAGAAGGAGGGATGGAAGGATAGAGAGAAAGAAGGAGGGATGGAGTGAGAGAAGGAGGGATAGAGAGAAAGGAGGGATGGAGAGAAAGGAGGGATGGCGGGACAGTGAGAGAAGGAGGGATGGAGAGAAAGAAGGAGAGATGGAGTGAGAGAAGGAGGGATAGAGAGAGAAAGAGGGATGGAGGGATAGAGTGAGAGAAGGAGGGGTGGAGGGATAGAGGGAAAGAAGGAGAGATGGAGTGAGAGAAGGACGGATGGAATGAGAGAAGGAGGGATAGAGAGAAAGAAGGAGAGATGGAGAGAAAGAGAGAGATGGAGTGAGAGAAGGAGGGATAGAGAGAAAGAAGGAGAGATGGAGTGAGAGAAGGAGGGATAGAGGGAGAGGAGGGATGGAGGGACAGAGTGAGAGAAGGAGGGAGGATGGATAGAGTGAGGGATGAGGGATAGAGAGAGAGACAGAGTAAGAGAAATAAAGAGGGAAGGAAGGAGAGAAAGAAGGAGGAATGAAGGGATGGAGAGATGGATGGAGTGATAGAGAAGGATAGATGGAGGGATGAGGAGTGTGAGTGGGTGTAAACGAGCGTGTGGTCGGTGGGCGTCAGACTCCGCCCACTGAGGCACCGACACGACGTCCTGTTCCCCCCCGGCTCCTGTCACCACATGGAATGTTCCACAGTACGACTTTAAACTCACACAAACGACAAACGAAACGACAAACAAAACAAACGACAACAACAAACGACAAACGACAAACGAAACGACAAACGAAACGACAAACGACAAACCAAACAAACGAAACGACAAACCAAACGACAAACAAAACAAACGAAACAAAACAAACGAAAACAAAACGACAAACCAAACGAAACAAACGACAAACGACAAACCAAACGACAAACACAAACGACAACAACCAAACGACAAAACCAAACGGACAAACGAAAACAACGAAACCAAACGACAAACCAAACGACAAACGAAACGACAAACGACAAACGACAAACGACAAACGACAAACAAACGACAAACGACAAACGACAAACGACAAACGACAAACGAAAACAAACGACAAAACCAAACGACAAACCAAACGGACAAACCAAACGAAACGACAAATGACAAACGAAACGACAAACGACAAACGAAACGACAAATGACAAACAAAACGACAAACGAAACGACAAACGAAACGACAAACCAAACGACAAACCAAACGACAAACAAACGACAAACGAAACGACAAATGACAAACGAAACGACAAACAAACGACAACGAAACGACAAACCAAACGACAAATGACAAACGAAACGACAAATGAAACGACAAACGAAACGACAAACGAAACAACAAACGAAACAACAAACGAAACAACAAACGAAACGACAAACGAAACAACAAACGAAACGACAAACGACAAACCAAACGACAAACCAAAACGACAAAAACAAACGACAAAACAAACGACAAACCAAACGACAAATGACAAACAACGACAAACCAAACGACAAACGACAAACAACAAACGAAACGACAAACAAAACGACAAACGACAAACCAAACGACAAACGAAACGACAAACGACAAACCAAACGACAAACCAAACGACAAACCAAACGACAAACGAAACGACAAACGAAACGACAAACCAAACGACAAACGACAAACCAAACGACAAACGAAACGACAAACAAAACGACAAACCAAACGACAAACGAAAACGAACAACGACAAACAAAACGACAAACCAAACGACAAACGGACAAACCAACCAAACCAAACGACAAACGACAAACAAAACGACAAACCAAACGACAACGAAACGACAAACGACAAACAAACAAACAAAAACGACAAACGAAACGACAAATGACAAACGACAAACCAAACGACAAACGAAACGACAAACGAAACGACAAACGACAAACGACAAACGAAACGACAAACGAACAAACAAAACGACAAACAAAACGACAAACAAAACGACAACGAAACAACAAAACGACAAACAAACGAAAACGACAAACGAAACGACAACGAAACGACAAACGAAACGACAAACAAAACGACAAACCAAACGACAAAACAAACGACAAACAAACGACAAACCAAAACGACAAAACGAAACGGACAAACAAACGACAAACCAAACGACAAACCAAACGACAAACAAACGACAAACACAAACAAACCAAACGACAAATGACAAACCAAACGACAACGACAACGACGACAAACAAACGAAAACAAACGACAACGACAAAACCAAACGACAACAAAACGACAAACAAACGACAAACAACGAACAAACAAAACGACAAACCAAACGACAAACGAAAAGACAAACCAAACGATAAAAACCCCCAACAGGAAAAACCCGCAGTGAAACTTTAAATCAACACCGGCCACGATTACACGAGAGATTTAAAAAGTATTTAATTCTGAATCTAAATGAATTCCATTTTTTAAAATTCCATGTAAACACTTAATTCCGAACAATAATGAATATTCGAAATTCAACTTAATTCCAAAGTCAGTGTTTGGTTTATTCCAATTTGATTTTAAAGCCAAATTAATTTATTCCTCGATCATGAAACGTTTATTCTTCTTAAAAATAATTCTGGTCGTTCAGCGGGTTCCATCACGCTATTCCGACTTGTCACTATTCCAACATGCCTCTATTATTCCGACATGCCACTATTATTCCGACATGCCTATTATTCTATTATTCCGACATGTCTATTATTCACATGTCGCTATTATTCTGACATGTCGCTATTGACATGTCGCTATTATTCTGACATGTCGCTATTATTCTGACATGTCGCTATTATTCCGACATACTGATCACTAGTATTCCGACATGCCTCTATTATTCTGACATGTCGCTATTATTCTGACATGTCGCTATTATTCTGACATGTCGCTATTATTCTGACATGTCCTCTATTATTCTGACATGTCGCTATTATTCTGACATGTCGCTATTATTCTGACATGTCGCTATTATTCCAACATGCCTCTATTATTCTGACATGTCGCTATTATTCTGACATGTCGCTATTATTCTGACATGTCGCTATTATTCTGACATGTCGCTATTATTCTGACATGCCGCTATTATTCTGACATGTCGCTATTATTCCGACATGCCTCTATTATTCTGACATGTCTATTATTATTCTGACATGTCGCTATTATTCTTACATGCCTCTATTATTCCGACATGCCTGACATGATTATTCTGACATGCTGAATGCTATTATTCTATTATTCTGACATGTCGCTATTATTCTGACATGCCTCTATTATTCTGACATGTCGCTATTATTCTGACATGTCGCTATTATTCTGACATGCCTCTATTATTCCGACATGCCTCTATTATTCTGACATGTCCTCTATTATTCTGACATGTCGCTATTATTCTGACATGTCGCTATTATTCTGACATGCCTCTATTATTCTGACATGTCGCTATTATTCTGACATGTCGCTATTATTCTGACATGCCTCTATTATTCTGACATGTCCTCTATTATTCTGACATGTCGCTATTATTCTGACATGCCTCTATTATTCTGACATGTCGCTATTATTCTGACATGTCGCTATTATTCTATTATTCCGACATGCCTCTATTATTCCGACATGCCTCTATTATTCTGACATGTCGCTATTATTCTGACATGTCGCTCTATTATTCTGACATGTCGCTATTATTCCGACATGCCTCTATTATTCCGACATGCCGCTATTATTCTGACATGCCTCTATTATTCTGACATGCCTCTATTATTCTGACATGTCCTCTGATTATTCCGACATGCCTATTTATTATTCCGACATGCCTCTATTATTCCGACATGCCTCTATTATTCCGACATGCCTCTATTATTCCGACATGCCTCTATTATTCCGACATGCCTCTATTATTCCGACATGCTATTCCGACATGCCTCTATTATTCCGACATGCCTCTATTCCGATATGTTGCAGAAAGATTATTTTAATTCCGAACTATTTCATCGAAAACAATGAAAAGCGTCATGTAAACGTGGTCATTGTGGAGCTTTGTGGAGGTGACATGTCAAACCCTGAACCTGTTTAACTCGGGGCCTGTTGTCTCCCCCTGGTGGCGCCGCAGGAGTTTGCAGTTCTGACCAAAGAGCTGAACCTGTGTCGAGAACAACTCCTGGAACGAGAGGAAGAGATCGCCGAGCTCAAGGCCGAACGCAACAACACGCGGGTCAGTGAACGCACCACGATACACAACGCAACAACACGCGGGTCAGTGAACGCACCACGATACACAACGCAACAACACGCGGGTCAGTGAACGCACCACGATACACAACGCAACAACACGCGGGTCAGTGAACGCACCACGATACACAACGCAACAACACGCGGGTCAGTGAACGCACCACGATACACAACGCAACAACAACACGCGGGTCAGTGAACGCACCACGATACACAACGCAACAACAACACACGGGTCAGTGAACGTACACGTCAGTGAACGCACCACGATATACACAACACAACGCAACAACACACGCGGGTCAGTGAACGCACCACGATACAACAACACAACACAACACGCGGGGTCAGTGAACGCACCACGATACACAACGCAACAACACGCGGTCAGTGAACGCACCACGATACACAACAACGCACGCACGAACAACGCAACAACAACACGCGGGTCAGTGAACGCACCACGATATAAACACAACAACAACACACGGGTCAGTGAACGCACCACGATATAAACACAACAACAACACGCGGGTCAGTGAACGCACCACGAAACAGAACGCAACAATACGCGGGTCAGTGAACGCACCACGATATAAACACAACAACAACACACGGGTCAGTGAACGCACCACGATACACAACGCAACAACACGCGGGTCAGTGAACGCACCACGATATAAACACAACAACAACACGCGGGTCAGTGAACGCACCACGATATAAACACAACAACAACACGCGGGTCAGTGAACGCACCACGAAACAGAACGCAACAACAACACACGGGTCAGTGAACGCACCACGATACACAACAAAACGCACAACACAACACACGGGTCAGTGAACGCACCACGATATGAACGCAACAACAACACACGGGTCAGTGAACGCACCACGAAACAGAACGCAACAACAACACACGGGTCAGTGAACGCACCACGAAACAGAACACAACAACAACACACGGGTCAGTGAACGCACCACGAATACAACAAACAACAACACACGGGTCAGTGAACAACGCACCACGAAACAAACAACAACACACGGGTCAGTGAACGCACCACGAAACAGAACACAACAACAACACACGGGTCAGTGAACGCACCATGATATAAATACAACAACAACACACGGGTCAGTGAACGCACCACGATATGAACGCAACAACAACACGCGGGTCAGTGAACGCACCACGATATAAACATAACAACAACACACGGGTCAGTGAACACACCACGATATAAACACAACAACACCACACGGGTCAGTGAATGCACCACGACATAAACACACGGGTCAGTGAACACACCACGACATAAACACACGGGTCAGTGAACGCACCACGATATGTACGCAACAACAACACATGGGTCAGTGAACGCACCACAAAACAGAACGCAACAACAACACACGGGTCAGTGAACGCACCACGAAACAGAACGCAACAACAACACATGGGTCAGTGAACGCACCACGATATAAACACAACAACAACACCAACACGGGTCAGTGAACGCACCACGATATGAACGCAACAACAACACACGGGTCAGTGAACGCACCACGATATGAACGCAACAACAACACACGGGTCAGTGAACGCACCACGAAAACAGAATGCAACAACAACACACGGGTCAGTGAACGCACCACGACATGAACGCAACAACACAACACGGGGTCAGTGAACGCACCACGATATAAACAAACAACACACGGGTCAGTGAACGCACCACGAACAACAAACACGGGTCAGTGAACGCACCACGATATAACGCAACAACAACACACGGTCAGTGAACGCACCACGAAAAGAATGCAACAACAACACACGGGTCAGTGAACGCACCACGAAACATGAACGCAACAACAACACACGGGTCAGTGAACGCACCACGATAAGAACGCAACAACAACACACGGGTCAGTGAACGCACCACGAAACATGAACGCAACAACAACACACGGGTCAGTGAACGCACCACGATATAAACACAACAACAACACACGGGTCAGTGAACGCACCACGATATGAACGCAACAACAACACACGGGTCAGTGAACGCACCACGACATGAATGCAACAACAACACACGGGTCAGTGAACGCACCACGAAACAGAATACAACAACAACACATGGGTCAGTGAACGCACCACGATACACAACGCCACAACAACACACGGGTCAGTGAACGCACCACGACACAAATGCAACAACAACTCACCGGTCAGTGAACGCACCACGATATAAACACAACAACAACACACGGGTCAGTGAACGCACCACGATATAAACACAACAACAACACACGTGTCAGTGAACGCACCACAACAACAACACGCGGGTCAGTGAATGCACCACGACATAAACACAACAAGCCCTGGCTCGGTCCTGTTTCGGTCCTGGCTCGGTCCTGTTTCGGTCCTGTCTCGGTTCTGGCTCGGTCCTGGCTCGGTCCTGGTCTGGTCCTGGCTCAGTCCTTACCCGGTCTTGACTCGGTCCTGACCCGGTCTCGGCTCAGTCCCGGTCTGGTCTCCCCTCAGCTCCTGCTGGAACACCTGGAGTGCCTGGTCTCTCGTCATGAGCGGAGTTTGAGGATGACGGTGGTGAAGCGTCAGGCCCAGAGTCCGGCGGGCGTGTCCAGCGAGGTGGAGGTGCTCAAGGCGCTCAAGTCCCTGTTCGAACACCACAAAGCTCTGGACGAGAAGGTGCGCGAGAGGCTGCGGGTGGCGCTGGAGAGGGTGGCGGCGCTGGAGGAGGAGCTGCAGTCTTCATCTCAGGAGGTAACAGCTCTTAAAGTCAAACTAGACAATAAATCTGCTTTTTTTGATACTTCACTGTGTTTATGATGTTTTTAAATAATTTGTACTGTTCCTACTCTGGTCAAACTGGTCAAAAATGTATAAAAAATAGTTATTTATTTTAGAAAAGTTCATATTTTTGGTGGTGTTTTCAGGTGGTGACTCTCCGGGAGCAGATCAAGCGCAGACAGCAGGGACTGGACAACGGCAAAGAGGTGAGAGCAGCTCTGAGAGAAGGTCAGAAGAAAAGAGCCTCTGATTTCTTATTTTATTTATTTGTAAAGGGACGGCACATATTAATGAACATAAAAAATGTAAATATGTAAAGATTATTGCCGAAGTGACTCATTTCCATCTTCAGTCCCATCTTCAACACCGGCACTCACTATCTGCGAGTTTCATTGTTGACAAAAGCGCGCGTTTCATGCTGGGAATTATTTTGGTCGGCGGCAAGAAACACTAATTCAACATGACGGACGGAGCCAGAAAGCAGGTAAAGGGTATTGATCCCGGTTATTTATCCACTCTAACAGCAGAGGACCCAAGACCATTTGACCAGAAATTGGTCATAAACATCGACGGACGACAAATCACCCTTTTCAACCCCGACAAAAGGTTGGACCAAACCAAACTTCTGGTCAGAATCGCCAACTACCTGGACAAATATTCACTTGGGCGACATCCACAATGACTTGGTGGAAACTCCTGGGCCATTCACAGCAGAAAAGATGAAAACCTCCAAGAGTCTCGATGTGTTGTTGAACTTGTTGGAGTCCACGGTTTGTTAGGATCTTCTACGTTTGCTCTGCGGATGTTTGAAAGTCGTTTAATTCACCGTTAGCGGTTCTTTTCACTCAGAATACGAAAAAGACATTTTCCTTCTTCCGTGCTTCTGTTTGTGCATCCGATAATGCAGCAGGAATTTACCATTATCGGGGAGAAATACGCGAGGTTACGAACTGTGTTTGACGCTACCGTGTTTCTTGCCTCCGACCAAAATATTTCCCAGCAGCAACGCGGCTTTTAATAACAATGACGTCAGCTGAAACTCGACTATACATACAATTAATTTCAAACAGTTCATTTGAGGTTCAAAACTCAAGAGTTTAAGAGTTAAACCACGAGTTAAACCAACAACCCTTCAAAATAAAAGAAAATGTAAATTGGTTAAACATGGCGACATATTTGACCATTGAACATCATGTTTTAAGGCTTTAGAAAATGCTGCAGTGTTGAAAGTTCTCGTACAGGCGCTGTTTTCCATATCTGACCTGCTCGAAAATCAAAAGAGAGTTGTTCCAAACGCTCTGATCCTGCAGTGGTCAGAGGAAGAGTCTTAGGGCCTGTCCACACGACGTTTTTTTGGTCGAAACGGTGAAGTTTGTATTCGTTTTGGTCTTTCATCCACACGGAGCCGGCGTTTTCTGTGGGCGAAAACGGTGCTGTTTGAGAACAGGTTGCAGAGTGGAGAAATCTGAACTCCGTTGTTGTGTTGTCGTGTGAACAAACAAACTGCAGCTTTTGGAAAACGATGACGTCACGACCCCGTCATCAGTGGTCGTCTGAATGCATCGAAGTCTGGAGCCCTCGAACGAACCTCCACAGACCACAAGACCTTTGTCGAAATGTGACAGGTGCAGAATAAGGAGCTGCTCCCGTCACTCAGAGATTACGCACACAGATCAATAACAAAGACACACGAGTCATTAAACTGTTGGACTTTAGTTATTCTAATAATTCTCACCCAAATCTTATGACTAAAAACTAAAACTTATGTTTCACTTTTGCAAAACAAAATGTCTGTATTTCTGGGCTACATCTAAAATCGACTAAATGACCTTAAAGTTTAAAAAACTGTGATGAGATTTGCATTATTAAATATTATTATCACTGTTACAGCGCCACATACAGGTGTGGTTTATGTATTACATCATTTTCACTCAGAGCTCCGGTGTCTGGACCTGAACATTTATTATCCGACTCGTGTGTGGACACATTTTTTTCAGCCCGTAAAAAAAAAAAATCCAGGAGCGTTTTGTGGACGTAGACTTAATAGTTCAAGATCGACAAATATGTTTTTTTCAGGGGAGATACTGATCCACTTTGTTTAGAATCTGGAGAAACTGAAAGCTGAGCAACTCTGACGATATTTCTGGGCCAATATGTTGGGACAGTTTTGATTATTTTCACCAAATTCTTTACTTTTAATGTTCTAAAAACTCCCATGAACCTAGTTTTAATCCACAAATGCAAATTTAATATTTGTAACTTGTATCTTGTCTTTACAAATAGACGTGTGTTTGTAAATTCATATATATTTAAATCTTTTTTCAAACATTTGTAAAATTGAAAATTCTATTTATAAAATGTGATTCGCATTTGTGGATCAACAGTTACACAAATTCTCAGATTTTCCTCTGTGATGTATTTTTGAGACTTTTTTTTTTTTCAAGAAATTCACAAACACAGACGCACAAACACACAGGCTCCACTAGAGGGCGATGTTGTTACAGGTTAATAGTAGAAGTTAGACTGAAGTCTGTTTCATAACAACACCAGAACATCATAATTAATCATCAATGAAGAACTGGACTTATAGACGATTCGTTTATGTTACGTAGGTAAGTTTTTATTTATAAAACACTTTTCACAAATATTTGTCACAAAGATAAATGTGGATAATTGTTCATGAAGAATGTTTCTCCTTTGTGGAGTTTGTTGGTTGAAGATTTGGGGATGGAGCAGATTTATGAAGAGACACACATTTACACACACATTTACACACACATTTACACATTTACACACACATTTACACACACATTTACACACACATTTACACACACATTTACACACACACACACACATTTACACACACATTTACACATTTACACACACACACACACATTTACACACACACACATTTACACACACACATTTACACACACATTTACACACACACACACATTTTACACACACACACACACACATTTACACACACATTTACACACATTTACACACACACACACACACATTTACACACACACACACACATTTACACACACATTTACACACACACATTTACACACACATTTACACACACATTTACACACACATTTACATTTACACACACATTTACACACACATTTACACACACATTTACACACACATTTACACACACACACACACACATTTACATTTACACACACACACACACATTTACACACACATTTACACACACACATTTACACACACACACACACACACACACTTTACACACACACACACATTTATTTACACACACATTTACACACACACATTTACACACACATTTACACACACACACACACACACACATTTACACACACACACACACATTTACACACACATTTACACACACATTTACACACACACACATTTACACACACACATTTACACACACACATTTACACACACATTTACACACACACACACACATTTACACACACACATTTACACACACATTTACACACACATTTACACACACATTTACACACACATTTACACACACACACACACATTTACACACACACACACACACATTTACACACACATTTACACACACACATTTACACACACATTTTTACACACACACATTTACACACACACACACACACATTTACACACACATTTACACACACATTTACACACACATTTACACACACATTTACACACACATTTACACACACACATTTACACACACATTTACACACATTTACACACACACATTTTTTTACACACACATTTACACACACATTTACACACACATTTACACACACACACACACATTTACACACACACACACATTTACACACACACACACATTTACACACACATTTACACACACATTTACACACATTTACACACACACACACACACATTTACACACACATTTACACACACACATTTACACACACACATTTACACACACACACACACATTTACACACACACACACACACATTTACACACATTTACACACATTTACACACACATTTACACACACACACACACACACATTTACACACACACACACACATTTACACACACACATTTACACACACACATTTACACACACACATTTACACACACATTTACACACACATTTACACACACACATTTACACACACACACATTTACACACACATTACACACACATTTACACACACATTTACACACACATTTACACACACATTTACACACACACATTTACACATTTACACACACACATTTACACACATTTACACACACATTTACACACACATTTACACACACACACACACATTTACACACACACACACATTTACACACACATTTACACACACATTTACACACACATTTACACACACACACACACATTTACACACACATTTACACACACATTTACACAGAAAAACATTAACTGGAAGTTCCTCAAACCTACAGCGCGACACTTTTGGATGTTTTGTGTTGTGTTTGTATAACCAGACCTGCTCACGAGTACAGACTCATTTTAAAGTGACTGACTAGCGCCCCCTGTGTTCATCTCTGTGTTTCTTGTCTCTGTGTTTGTCTCCGTCTGGTCCCAGCGTCTCCCGAACGGCCCGTCCTCGCTCCTGGACGATGGAGAGATGGAGCGACAGAGGGAGGGAGAGATTGAGCGGCAGAGGTCAGAGCTCGGGCAGCTGAAGGAGCGACTGGCCCTCATGTGTCGACAGGTAAAGACACGCTAAAAACACGCTAAAAACATGCTAAAAACACGGTAACAACACACTAACTTTTGCTTAGGGGTGGATTAAAGCTTCAGGCGGGGGTTTAGCGGCTCTTGTCCGGACTGTAGGGGGCAGCACATCACTATTCACAAGCGTCAATGGAGTCATTTCTAACGTAAATGTGTAAGTTCTCGCAGTGACGCTGAACCCTGTGGTGTGTTTTTTTTTTTCAGGTGGGAGAAATCGAGGAGCAGCTGACGTCAGCGCGCAGAGAACTGGCCCGATCCGAAGAGGCCAACCAGAAACTACAGCGCGACGTCAAAGAGGTCTGATTTAAGGACTCACTTATCATTTATTTTTTATTTTAACATATTTCCGTGCTTTGTGGATTTAAACGGTATCGTATCGCGCAGAGCTTCAACGCCGTCGTGTTTGTTTTCATGTACCACATGTAGTTTATGCAAATTAAACCTGAACGTATTGTTAAATGTGACTAGAAACAAAAATATGAGTGTATTTGTCTGAATAAACACACAGTTCAAGTGTGTTGTGTTGTGTTTTCCAGGCGCTGTGTCAGAGGGAGGACATGGAGGAGCGCATCACCACTCTGGAGCGCAGGTCTGAGCTTTATTTAAGACTTTACCCCACGGTGAAGTTACTGCTTTGTCTGGAACATTCCACAGTCGCCACGTTTACATGAGAGCTTTAACTCCGAATAAAAATTTATTCTGCTTTAAAAAGTTCATGTAAACACTTAATTCCTAATGAAAATGATTATTCTGAATTCAGCTAAATTCCGAAGTAAGTGTTTGGTTTATTCTGATTGTAAATCTGAATGAATTTCTTCCTGGATCATGTTTCCCATTTATTCTTGTTAAAAATAATGCAGGTGCTTCGGCGCATCCTCGTCGTGTCGTCCTTCTGACGCGATCCGGACGATCCGGCTCCATCAGTCCTGGCTTCGGATTTTCATCCACGTCTCTTTGGATTCGGAATTATTATTTCCATGTAAACTCCAAAGAGAATATTTTAATTCCAAACTATTTAATTAAAAAACATCATGTAAATGTGACCAGTATGACATTAAACTGTTCTATCTTCGTGGAAACCAAACCAGACCAAGTTACAGGTCAGATCTGTGGAGAGGCGACCCCGCTCACAGTCAGAATGTTTTTTTTTTTCTAAGTATTTTTGAGCTATAAAACCATCTGTAGTTGAATAAACATAAAGTCGAGCTGTTTAATGTCACACTGTGGAACATTCCAGACAAAGCGGTGAGGTATCCATAGAAACAAGCATCCAAAAAGTTACATAATGCAGCTTTAAACAAAGAAAAGTTCACAAACTTTCATCAAAACCTCTTAAACGTCTGGTTTCTGTCGTTTGTGGAGCTGTTTAACTTCCTTCACCTGTTTGTTTGTCTCTTTCTCTTTTTTCTTCTTCTTCTTCTGTCGTGTGTCGGGTGTGTGTGTCGGGGTGTGTGTCGGGTGTGTGTGTGTGTCGGGTGTGTGTCGGGTGTGTGTCGGGGTGTGTGTCGGGGTGTGTGTCTGGGTGTGTGTCTGGTGTGTGTGTGTGTCTGGTGTGTGTGTGTCGGGTGTGTGTCGTGTGTGTCGGGTGTGTGTGTGTGTGTCGGGGTGTGTGTCGGGTGTGTGTCGGTGTGTGTCGGGGTGTGTGTCTGGTGTGTGTGTGTGGGTGTGTGTCTGGGTGTGTGTCGGGGTGTGTGTGTCTGGTGTGTGTCTGTGTGTGGGTTGTGTGTCGGGGTGTGTGTCTGAGTGTGTGTGTCGGGGTGTGTGTGTCTGTGTGTGTCGGGTGTGTGTCGGGTGTGTGGTCTGGGTGTGTGTGTCGGGGTGTGTGTCGGGTGTGTGTCGGGTGTGTGTCGGGTGTGTGTGTGTGTGTCGGGTGGTGTGTGTGTGTGTCGGGTGTGTGTCTGGGTGTGTGTCGGGTGTGTGTCGGGTGTGTGTCGGGGTGTGTGTGTGTCTGGTGTGTGTCTGGGTGTGTGTCGGGGTGTGTGTCGGGTGTGTGTGTCGGGTGTGTGTGGGGTGTGTCGGTCGGTGTGTGTCGGTGGTGTGTGTCGGGTGTGTGTGTCTGTGTGTCGTGTGTCGGGTGTGTCGTGTGTGTCGGGTGTGTGTGTGTCGGGTGTGTGTGTGTGTCGGGTGTGTGTCGGGTGTGTGTCGGTGTGTGTCGGGTGTGTGTCGGGTGTGTGTGTCCTGGTGTGTGTCGGGTGTGTGTCTGGTGTGTGTGTCGGGTGTGTGGGGTGTGTGTCGTGTGCGGGTGTGTGGGTGTGTCTGGTGTGTGTCGGGGTGTGTGTCTGGTGTGTGTGTCTGGGTGTGTGTCTGGGTGTGTGTCGGGTGTGTGTCGGGTGTGTGTCGGGTGTGTGTCTGTGTGTGTGTGTCGGGTGTGTGTCGGGTGTGTGTGTGTGGGTGTGTGTGTCGGTGTGTGTGTGTCGGTGTGTGTCGGGGTGTGTGTCGGGTGTGTGTCGGGTGTGTGTCGGGTGTGTGTCGGGTGTGTGTCGGGTGTGTGTCGGGTGTGTGTCGGGGTGTGTGTCGGGTGTGTGTCGTGTGTGTCGGTGTGTGTCGGGTGTGTGTGTGTGTGTCTGGTGTGTGTCGTGTGTGTCTGTGTGTGTGTGTGTGTGTGTCGGGTGTGTGTCGGGTGTGTGTCGGGTGTGTGTCTGGTGTGTGTGTGTGTGTCTGGGTGTGTGTCGGGTGTGTGTGGGGTGTGTGTCGGTGTGTGTCGTGTGTGTGGGTGTGTGTCTGGTGTGTGTCGGGTGTGTGGGGTGTGTGTCGGGTGTGTGTCGGGTGTGTGTCGGTGTGTGTCGTGTGTGTCGGGTGTGTGTGTGTGTGTGTCGGGTGTGTGTGTGTGGTGTGTGTGTCGGGTGTGTGGTGTGTGTCGGGTGTGTGTGGTCTGGGTGTGTGTCGGGTGTGTGTCTGGTGTGTGTGTCTGGTGTGTGTCTGGTGTGTGTCGGGTGTGTGTCGGGGTGTGTGTCGGGTGTGTGTCGGGTGTGTGTCGGGTGTGTGTGTGTGTCGGGTGTGTGTCGGGTGTGTGTCGGTGTGTGTCGGGTGTGTGTGTGTGGGTGTGTGTCGGGTGTGTGTGTCTGGTGTGTGTCGGGGTGTGTGTGTGTCGGGTGTGGTGTGTGTCGGGTGTGTGTGGGGTGTGTGTCTGGGTGTGTGTGTCGGGTGTGTGTCGTCGGGTGTGTGTGTGTGTGTCGGGTGTGTGTGTGTGTGTCGGGTGTGTCGGGTGTGTGTCAGGTACCTGGCCGCCCAGCGGGAGGCGACGTCTCTCCACGACATCAAAGACAAACTGGAGAACGAGTTGGCCAGCAAGGACTCCCTCTACAGACAGGTACTGGAACTGCAGCCACACAAACACATACAGTAAAGGACTTGATTTAAAGACAAATATTGAGTGCGTATTCATGCACATCAATAACCCGCTTATGATCGGGTTTTTTGAGTGTCCCGGTTTCTTGATGGTGCATGTAAACGCAGTAACCCGGTTTCAGTATCCCGGTTATGGCAGTGTCCTGGTTATTAGAAACCGTGTTACTGTAGCTGGTTTATTCCGATAGTATCCGGGATACTGTGACATGTAAACGCAGTACCCCGGTTACTGCAACATAAAGTTGAGTAAATAAATTGACCAACATAAATAAAGTGACCAAACGAGTGAAATGACTGTAAATTTAAGAGCTGCGCTAAACCTGCACTCGTGTGACGCTGAAAAGCTAAAACATGAACTATCTCCTGTACAACACACACACAGAACACACTTACCATCATCAGCACCTCTTCTGTCACAGAAATAACTCACATAATCCACTGAGTCGTGTCATTTAGTCCAAAAGAAACTGAACCACATCAGCGGCGCAAGGAGCAGCTGTTTTTATCGCCGCTAACAGTTTATGCTACTTAGCCTACGGTCTTAAGTTTCGTTTCTGTAAAACGTAAACAAATGTGATCAGAGCTGAATGATCTGATCAAACGGGCTGATGTGTCTATACTGTTTATGGTTTATATGTTGTAAAGTTGAGTTTATTTATGCAGAAGATTTGAATGAAGAATCTGCACAGTGGATTGTGGGAGATCTCGTAGCTCCTTAGCTTCTTATGCTAAAGGAGCTCACGGTTTGTATTTTTCCTGGTTTATGAAATTGATTTAAGTTAATTTTTGCGCCTGCGCATTTGTAAGATTTGTCAAGAAACCGGGACACTCCATTTGATCATGTACACGCAGGATATGAGTGTCCGGTTTCTCAGTGCACATGTAAACACAGTAACACGAATACTGACAGAACCAGGATATGGCTAATAACCGGGTTATTGATGTGCATGTATACACACTCATTGACACGTTTCAGTGAGTTTACCTGCATAAAACTATCCCATAATCAGTGCTGGGGAGTAACAGATTACATGTACCAGAGTTATGTAATCAGAGTACAACTGATGAGTAACTGTATTCAGTTACAGTTACTGTTTCAGTGAGTGGTAATTGGATTACAGTTACTTTGCTGAAATAAGTGGATTACAAGGCGGTATTTTCCTGTTTTCACATTTTGTGCTACATCCCATTTATTTATTTTTTAATTTTGGTAATTCCACTCATTGCTGGAAACTCACACAGAACGCGGCAGTAAGAGCGATGGAAACGTCATGTTAACGTTGGCGGCGTCAGTCGCACAATGGACGAGGTTTAAGAGCCAGTAGAACAGAGCAGCAGCGCACAGGGAAAAACACATTCGTGTCTTGGAAATTCTTCTCCCGACATGAAATATAAAATTGCCTACAACTTAAATGTCAAACTACTGGCGCTGGTGAAAACAACCTGCATAGACTCATGATGTCTGCACTACTGTCCTATACACACACACACACACACAAACACACACACAAGCACACACACACACAAACACACACAACCACACACACAAACACACAAACACACACCTTCGTCATCATCATCAACCTGAGAACGCGTGGACCACATCATTGTCCCGTGCGCCGCGTGTGGACTGTGTTTTCTCGCGTTCGCTGCGTAAACCGCGCTTCCTCCTGTGCGCCTCTAAACCAGAACTAACACCAAGACTAAAACCAGGAATAAACCAGGACTAAACCAAGTCTAAACCAGAACTAAACCAGGTCTAAAATCAGGACTAAACCAGGACTAAAACCAGGTCTAAACAGTATGATACCTAACAGTAGGTTGGACATAATTTAAAGGTTGTATAGAGGATTTTCCAAGGAACGAGAAATCCAGCGACTGTTTGTCCTTTTTCAAATGTTGCGCATGTGTGAAACCACCTCCCTCCCCCACAGCTCCTACGTAGAAACACCTCCTCCCTCCTCCTCCTTACGCCACAAACAGGTTTGTTTACAGCCGGTGAACTGCACATGACTTGTAAACAACTAACTACAGTGTTGGTTAGACAAGACGGAGAAGTGAGGAGCAGGGGGAGCGGGTGTGCAGACTCTTTCTTTGCCTTGAAAATTACGTTTTCAGACATAGGATATCGCTTTCGTGTCCTGAAAAATGTTTGTCTAACTCTTGGAAATAAAGTACTTTTTCATAATCAGCAGAAGTTTCCTGTCCAGGAGTAATTTGTGGACCAGTGGTTCAGTCTTTAGACTCTTCGTCTGCTTCAGTCGCGCCATCGCTGGAATGAATCTTCAAGAATCACCTTAGTTTGGCTTCGCTGCTTTTCCCCTTGTCTTCTTCTTTCATCGACCTCAAAAACAGACTTTCTTTTGCGGCGAACTGCTCCTGGATTCTTGTTCATCTTCATTGCAACCAACTTTGTGTGAACTGCGAGGAAGATATAGGTAAAAAAAAAGCCGCTAAGAACTGTTGTGTTGGTGGAGTAAACAGCGTCTGTGCGTCTTGCGTCTGTGGACTGTGTGACAGTCGTACGTAAACCACGTACCGGCGGCGCAGACAAGTCAGTTACACTAGAAACGTAGGGAGTTTGATTGACAGCCTGTCAGCTCACAGATAACGAGGCAGTGTCGTTATCTATTGGCAAATGTTTAGCAATTTTTATTCTCTTTTTTTTGGTCATCATAATTACAAGGCGACTGCATCTATAATCTATCACTGACAATTTGAAACAAAAAAAAAACCAAAAAAAATCCTCCATACAACCTTTAAGGTAATCTCATATAAAAATAATTTCTCTATCAATAATATTTTTAAAAGTCTGGACTTTTTATTCTCTTTTAGCAGACAAAACATCTTATGTGAACATATCCTAGGTTTTGCTTCTCTACATTTGCTTATTCCTGGAGACTTGGGCTCAACAGACAATTTGAAGAGAACAAACAAGAATTTTCAGGATGTGGTTGGTACATTCATGTCGTTTTAAAAAGCATGACAATATCAAGTAATCTAAAGTATTCAGATTACATTACTCACTTTAAGTAATTTATTGGATTACGTTACAAACTACATTTTGGGGTATGTAATCTGTAATCTGTAGGGGATTACATTTTAAAAGTCACCTTCCCAACACTGCCCATAATACCTTGAATATAACTTTATAGATTTACTCGACACAGCCTCTCACTCAAGGTTTTTGTTCTTTATTTTTACTACTTTTTACATTTTATACACACACCCGGAGACGTCAAATATACACTGCGAAAAAGCTCGGCCAAAATTTGAGATATAAACACTTAAACAACTTAAATCTATCAGAAAATGTCTTACAAGTGCTGAATTGACGTGTCCGTGCAGTGAGATCATTTTACTTGATGAGTTCTCTTAAAATAAACGACGTCTAGACGAGAATGAAGCGTCTCAGAACGAGTAAGTAGAAAATAAATCTGAAAACAAGATGAAGAACCTGATATATACGTTTTAAAATCTTGGCCAGATCAGAGAAATTTGCAGTGTATAAAGCACGATAAATGGAATTATGTTGTAAAGAAAAAAGTTAAATGAGTCTACGAAATATTTTTGGTTGCTACTTGGAGGATTTGAATATAAAATCTATAAAAAAAACATATTTATCTTTTTCTCTTGCTGTATAATTCCATGTATCTTACTTCATACTGTATATTTGATGTCTTCTGTGTGTCTAAAATGTAGAAATGAGTGAAATAAAGAAAAATAAAACCACTGTATGAGCTCTTGTGTCCAAACGTTCGACTGCTCGTGTAAATCACAGGACATAAACGATATAACTTCTGCCACAGACATAGAAAAACAAAATCTTAAATCAATAAAAGACATGAAAACAGTTTGTCAGAACCGTCAGCTACTGTTGTTTTAAAATAAATTAATTACATTTGTTCCTGTTATTTATAATTTGAATGTTCTCTGTGTGTTCTTCAGAGCGAGGAGAAGAACCGTCAGCTTCAGGAGCGACTGGACGATGCCAAACAGAAGCTTCAGCAGACGCTCCAGAGAGCAGAGACTCTGCCCGAGGTGGAGGCACAGCTCGCCCAGAGGGTGGCAGCACTGAGCAAGGTCTGAACTGTAACACTAGGATAAAAATAACACGAGAATAATAATAACACTAGAATGACCCTAGAATAATAATAACACTAGAATACCAGTTTAATAACACTATAATAACACTATAACACTTTAATAACACTTTAATAACACTATAATAACACTAGAATAATGACCCTAGAATAATAATAATGACACTAGAATACCAGTTGAATAACACTATAATTACACTATAACACTTTAATAACACTTAAATAACACTTTAATAACACTATAATTTCACTATAACACTTTAATAACGCTAGAATAACACTAGAATAATAATAACACTAGAATAACACTAAAATAATAATAACACTAGAATAACTCTTTAATAACACTTTAATAACACTAAAATAATAATAACACTAGAATAACATTTTAATAACACTTTAATAACACTAAAATAATAATAACACTAGAATAACACTAGAATAACACTTTAATAACACTTTAATAACACTAAAATAATAATAACACTAGAATAACACTTTATTAACACTAAAATAATAATAACACTAGAATAACACTTTAATAACACTAAAATAATAATAACACTAGAATAACACTTTAATAACACTAAAATAAAATAACACTAGAATAACACTTTAATAACACTATAATAAAACTATAACATTATAATAACACTCTAATATTATAATAACTCTATAACCGTGTAATAACACTGTAATAACACTACTACAGCACTAATGCCCAAATATCGTCACATCAGACCAGAAGTTGGGCATTTTACAGCTCCCCAGCTCCTCATTTATAATTACAACATAAACATATTTTATAGTTTGACCTCATGCCTGGACTAAAGCTGCATTGTTTTAATTTTAGAGTTGGTTTTTAATGACATTTTTTATTCACTTTTTAATTGTTTAATCAAAACATAAACTCTATAAAAAACAGTAACTCTCTTTGTTTTTATAAAGAAATACAATTGATATTACACAGAACTGAGTGAAGCATTTTTTGGCCTCCACAATATTTTCTGTTTCTTACGTAAAACCCAAAAAAGAAAAACTGATTGGCCGTCCCAGCCGTCCAGTCCGTGTGTCGTTCGTTCATTCGTTTTTCAATATAAAACCAAAAATAAGAAAACGAAAAAACAACCGTTTTCTTCGTTATTTGTCTCCAAAACCAAAATGAAAAAACGGATAACGATTCGTTTTTTCAGTTTTCGATTTTGTGTTTAAATGAAGAATGGAAAAAACGGATAACGGCCGTTTCCCGTTATCCGTTCCATTCTTCGGGATTCAACACACACACACACAACACACACGTACACACAGTTGGAGCAGGGGTGTGTGTTGAATCCCTGGACACTTCGATCCAGTCCTGGAATCAAATATCGGAATTTTTGCTCCGTTTGTTGTGATAAAATCTGTTGTAAATATAAATTTTAATTTTACTCAAATCAAGACGAAGTTTGTGAAGGAAAATATTTAAATGTTTACAGGAAGTGGAAAAAACAGACGATGATGATGATGATGATGTTGTTATTTCTCCTCTCTCCTTGTTTCCTCTTCCCTTGTTCCTCACCTCCTCATGTCCTTGTCTCCTTTCGTCCTTTCTCCTCTCTCCTTCTTTCCTTGTCTCCTCTTGTCCTCATGTCCTTGTGTCTTTGTCTCCTTCTGTCCTTCTCTCCACTCTCCTCGTGTCCTTATCTCCTCATGTCCTTGTCACCTCTCTCCTTGTCCCATTCTCTCCTCGTCTCCTTCTCACCTCGTCTCCTCGTGTCCTTGTCTCCTCTCTCCTTCTCACCTCATCTCCTCGTGTCCTTATCTCCTCATGTCCTTGTCACCTCTCTCCTTGTCCTCTTCCCTCCTCGTCTCCTTCTCACCTCGTCTCCTCGTGTCCTTGTCTCCTCTCTCCTCGTCTCCTTCTCACCTCATCTCCTCTATCCTTATCTCCTCATGTCCTTGTCACCTCTCTCCTTGTCCTCTTCCCTCCTCGTCTCCTTCTCACCTCGTCTCCTCGTGTCCTTGTCTCCTCTCTCCTCGTCTCCTTCTCACCTCATCTCCTCGTCTCCTCGTGTCCTTGTCTCCTCGTGTCCTTGTCTCCTCTCTCCTTGTCTCCTCGTGTCTCCTTGTCTCCTCGTGTCCTTGTCTCCTCGTGTCCTTGTCTCCTCATCTCCTTGTCTCCTCGTGTCCTTGTCTCCTCGTGTCCTTGTCTCCTCGTGTCCTTGTCTCCTCTGTCTCCTTGTCTCCTCATGTCCTTGTCCTTTTCTCTCCTCTCTCCTTCTCTCCTTGTCTCCTTCTCACACTGTCTCCTCGTGTCCTTGTCTCCTCGTGTCCTTGTCCTTTTCTCTCCTCTCTCCTTCTCTCCTCGTCTCCTTCTCACACCGTCTCCTCGTCTGCCTGTCTCCTCTCTCCTGTTCTCCTCTCTCCTGTTCTCCTTGTCTCCTCGTGCCCTTGTCTCCTCGTGCCCTTGTCTCCTCGTCTCCTTGTCTCCTCGTGCCCTTGTCTCCTCGTCTCCTTGTCTCCTCGTGTCCTTGTCTCCTCGTGTCCTAGGCGGAGGAGAGACACGGTAACTTTGAGGAGCGTCTGCGTCAGATGGAGGCTCAGCTGGAGGAGAAGAACCAGGAGCTGCAGAGGGTAAGACTCATGTCTCACCTCACTCTCAGTCCTCTCTCCTCCTCTCTTCTTTCTCTCTCTCTCCTCCTCTCCTCTGTCTCTTTCTCTCTTTGTCCCTCACTCTGTCTTCTCTTTCTCCTCTTCTCTCTTCTTTTCTTCTCTCTGTCTCTCTCTCTGGCCTGTCTCTCCTTCTCTCCTCCCCCTCCACAATCTCTCCGTCTTCTCTTTCTCCTCCTCTCTCTCTCTATGCTTTTCTCTCTCTTTCCTCTCTCTCTCCTCCTCTTCTCTTTCTCTCTTTGTCATCTTGTCTCTCCTCCTCTCCTCCCCCTCCTCAGTCTCTCCTCTGTCCATCTTCTCTTTCTCCTCCTCTCTCTCTCTCTCTCTCTATGCTCTTCTCTCTCACTCTCCTCCTCCTCCTCTCCTCCTCTTCTCTCTCTCTCTCTCTGTCATCTCTCTCTTCTCCCCTCCTCTCCTCTGTCTCTTTCTCTATTTCCTCTCTCGCCTTCTGTCTTTTTCTCTCGTTCTCTCTCTATTTCTCCTCCTCTCTCTCTCTCTCTCTCTCTCTCTGTCTTCTCTTTCTCCTCCTCTCTCCTCCTCCTCTGTCTTTTCTCTCTCTCTTTCTCTCCTCTTCTCTCTCTCTCTGTCATTTTGTCTCTCCTCCTCTCCTCCCCCTCCTCAGTCACTCCTCTCTCTGTCTTCACTCTCTCCTCTCTCTCTCTCTCTCTTTCTCTTTTCTCTCGCTCTCTCTGTCCTCTCTCTCCTCCCCTCTCTCTCCTCCTCTTCTGTCTCTCTCTCTCTGTCCCCTCTCTCCGTCTTCTCTTTCTCCTCCTCTCTCTTTCTCCTCCTCTCTTCTGTCTCTCTCTCTCTCTCCGTCCTCCCTCCTCCTCCTCTTTCTTCTCTCTCTCTCTGTCTCCTCTCTCCGTCTTCTCTTTCTCCTCCACTCTCCTCCTCTCTCTATCCTCTTCTCTTTTGCTCTCTATGCCCCCTCTCTCCTCCTCCTCCTCTTCTGTCTCTGTTTCTCTCTCTCTGTCCCCTCTCTCCCTCTTCTCTTTCTCCGTCTCTCTCCTCCTCTTCTGTCTTCTCTCTATCTCTCCTCTTCTCTCTGTCTCTCTATGCTCTTCTCTCTCTCCTCCTCAGTCTCTCCTCTCTCCGTCTTCTCTCTCTGTCCTCTTCTTCCCTCCTCTCCTCTCCTTGTCTCTCTCTCCTCCTCCTCACCTCCTCGTCTTCTCTCTCTCTCGCTCTCTGTCCCCTCTCTCCTCTCTCTCTCTTTCTCTCTTCTCCTCTCCTCTCTCCTCCTCTTTCTCTCTCTCTCCGTCCCCTCTCTCCATCTTCTCTTTCACCTCCTCTCTTTTCTTCTCTTCTCTCTGTCTCTCTCTCTGTCCTGTCTCTCCTTCTCTCTTCCCCTCCACAATCTCTCCTCTCTCCGTCTTCTCTTTCTCCTCCTCTCTCTCTCTCTCTCTCTCTGTCTATCTTTCTTTCTCTTTTTGTCCTCTTCTCTCTCGCTCTCTCTCTATTTTCTCTCTCGCCTTCTGTACTTTCTCTCGGTTTCTCTCTCTCCTCCTCCTCTCTTCTCTCTCTCCGTCTTCTCTTTCTCCTCCTCAGTCTCTCCTCTCTCCATCTTCTCTCTCTGTCCTCTTCTTCCCTCCTCTCCTCGTCTTTCCCTCCTCCTCCTCCCCCTCCTCACTCATCCCTTCTTCTCGCAGGCTCGGCAGAGGGAGAGAATGAACGACGAGCATAACAAACGTCTGAGCGACACGGTGGACAAGCTCCTGTCCGAGTCCAACGAGCGTCTGCAGCTGCACCTCAAGGAGAGGATGGCCGCCCTGGAGGAGAAGGTCAGAACTGCACCTCTGCCCGAACGCGGGCGCGACTCGGCTCCACCCGCTCTGGCTCCAGTCCACTTTCTATAGATAAACCCCCCCCCCCCTCTCTGTAACTGCTGATGTCGCCTCGTCATTTTGGTTTGAAAACGTTTGTATGAACTCTGCATGATCTGTGGAACATTCGTTCTTTGGATTTCAATTAAGAACGAAAAACTATAAAAAGAGAAAACAGTTTGTTATTTAATTTTTTTGATCTCTAACTGTTTTTACATTTTATTATTCTTAATATCGTTCTTAATTTAAATTGAAAATACTCTACTTGATCCTGGAGTTTTTATTTCACGATTTTGTCCCTAAATCAGGACGAGAACTTTAAAAACAAACCGATCAGGCGGTCGCTTCTTCTCATGTTAGACCAGTTTGATTGACAGCGTTGTTAAGCTCTTGCCCCCTGTTAAAGTGGCAGTGTGGGCGTGTACCTTTAACAGCCTCGCTCCTGATTGGCTCTTTGGTTGTGCGTTGATGCTCGTGGTCGGATTTTCAAATATGGAACCGGGCTCCACATTCGCCGCTGTAACTGTAGTGTGGAGGAGTTTCATTTGGAGACGAACGCGGCGAGAACGTCACACACACACACACACACACACACACAC